AAAACAATCCTCTTCAAAAGAAACAAAGTGGGAGGTATCACACTTCCAGACTTTAAATGGACCTATAAGGCTACAATAATCAAAACAGCTTGGTATTGATACAAGAACAGGCATATAGTCCAATGGAACAGGATAGAGATTCTGGAAACAAGACCTCAATTTGTCATACACACACACACACACACACACACACACACACACACACACAAACACACACACATGAAATGGTTTTATCTATGAATACTGATATAAAACTGATATAAAACAGTTCAAAATTTACTTCCTAGGTTTTTCACTGGAAATTAAGGTTAGTAAGAGTTAAAATTGTAGTAAATATATGTAATTAAAACTATTAGATATAAGATAAATAAATCTATATACAGAGTGTGTAAAGAAAGTAAGATGTGTTTTGGGGAAGAAGATTATCAAAAAAAGACATGAGGATGTGGCTTTTACTAAAGGAAAAGAAATTGTGCCAAGTTTAGAGGAAAAGTAATTTTGTCTAGTTTAGAAGTTATTTAAAGATTGTTTCAAAATGAAGGGAAAAACAATATAAATTAATTTTTTAAAGTAGGAGGAAAATAGAAAAAGCACTGTAAGAAGTAATAAACAGTTTATAGAAATCTTGTGTGGTAAAAAACTCACTGAGATTGGATGGATGTGAGTTGGAGTCTCACTTTGTTGCCCAGACTGGAGTGCAGTGGCCACTCCTGGCCACTGCAGCCTCGACCTGCTGGGCTCCGGCCATCCTTCCGCCTCAGCCTTCCAAGTAGTTGGAACTACAGGCACGCGTTACCACGCCTGGCTAATTCTTTTGATTTATTGTAGAGATGAGGCCTCTCCAAGTTGCCCAGGCGGGTCTCGAACCCACGGGCTCAGGCAATCCACTCACCTCGGCCTCCCAAAGCACGGGATTACAGGCTGAGCCACCGAGCCCGGCCATATTTTGTATTTATAACAGATTAATATAAATGAAAAATTTGGTCTTCTCCTTTGAACAAGAATTTCATGTAGTATTATTATGAAATAGTAAAAGATATTTGCCCACCTTTTGAGTAAACTGCAAAAAAAAAGAGGAGACACAGATTTTGTCTCATGCTATCTTTCATAGATTTTTTTCATTGTTTGACAAATAAGTCTGATCGGGCCTGGTGGCTCAGCCGGTAATCCCAGCACTTTGGGAGGCCAAGACGAGTGGATTGCCTGAACCCGCGAGTTTGAGACCAACCCAGGCAACTTGTTGAGACCTTGTCTCTACAATAAATTAAAAAATTAGCCAGGCACCGTAGCACATGCCTGTAGTCCCGGCTACGTGAACGGCTGAGGCAGAAGGATTGCCTAAGCCCAGCAGGTTGAGGCTGCAGTGGCCGTGAGCACTCCACTCTAGGTGACAGAGTGAGACTCCAATTTTAAAATATATATATATGATCCGGAGGAACTCAAATTATTCTACAAAGAAGATACCAGCACATGTATGTTTATTGCAGCTCTATTCACAATAACAAAAACATGGAACCAGCCATGTTGCCCATAGAAGCTGGACTGGATAAAGAAAATGTGGTACATATACACAATGGAATATTATGCAGCCATAAAGAACGACAAATATATGAACTTTGCAGCAATCATACTCAGTGATTTATCACAGAAACAAATAACACAGTTCCATATGTTCTCACTCATAAGGTGATCTTGAACAATTATAATGCTATAAGAAAGCAATTGGCAGTAATGGGAAACTGTTGGTGGGGGGATGGGATTGGCAGTTGAGAGAAACTGCTAGGGAAGGGAGGGGCATACTTCATTAACAGGGATACCTGCGTGATCAATGTTTGTATACCTAACCCTGAATTGTACCCCACATCTTTATTATAAAAAGTTTATTTATATATATATATATATATATATGAAACATTGTTAAATAAGAAATGGTGTTTAACTTTCTTTGAGTTTTTTTATATGGATATATTATTAATATGTGCTCCAAAATTGTATGAGATTCCTAAACATCTGATATGTCTTGGCAATGCAGTAAATTGCCTTATTCTGATGCTTTTTTCCTTTTTTTTTCTTTTGGAGAAGCATTCAAGTATTTATTTGATATTACACATAAATCACACTAAAATATCTTTTAGTAAGTAAAAGATAGCATTTTTAGATACAGGGAATTCTAATTAGATTGTCATAGTTAAGACCAAAAATATGATATAGACATTGCTACCTTATCTTCAGTCTTTGCTTTTAAGAGGTCAATGAACACAAAAAAGATTGGTCTTGCTTGGTTCTGAGACAGTTAAGGAACTTCTTCAGTATTTAAATATATTCATATAACCAGTTATATAAATCTAAATATAAAACCAATTTCCAATAGATTTTAAGATGGCATTCACCATCTTTGTGAAAAGTTGAACATTACTAATCAAATACAATCTTATCCTTAGAAGGGGAAAACAGTGAGATAGCATTTTCAAAATTGAAATTACTATTGAAATTTAAAAAAGATCTTATTCATATAACCACAAACCAGTCTTAGTTAAATTGGGACTGTTCAACAAAATTATTCTGTCAGCCACTCATGATATGAATTCTGGTGTAAGAGATCAATTAAATTATGGTACACATAAAAAAAGTCATGAGATATTTCTGGTTTTTTTTTTTTTTTCTTGAGTTGGAGTCTCGCTCTGTCACCCAGACTGGAGTGCAGTGGCCGCTCCCGGCCACCGCAGCCTCGACCTGCTGGGCTCCGGGGATCCTTCCGCCTCAGCCTTCCAAGCCGCTGGAACTACAGGCGCGTGCTACCACACCCAGACATTTCTGTAATGAATAAGGCAGTGGCCAATTATTACTCATTAGTAGCTTTTTTGAGATAAGCTATCAAGTCTGCCCTTTCTCCCTTCTTCTTAATGCCAGCGAAGATCATTTTTGTTCCAGGGATGTACTTCTTGGGATTCTCCAAATACTCCATCAGGGTATCTTCTCCCTAGGTGATGCCTTTGTTCTTATTGGCATCTGTGTAAGAGAATCCAGCAGCGTGACCTGTCTTCCGCCCAAAGAGACCATGAAGATTTGGCCCAGTCTTGTGCTTGCCTCCCTTTTCCACGGTGTGACACTGAATACTCTTTTGAACAAAAATCTTCTTGCCTTTCTCAACATCACCCATATTTAACTCTCTCTTTCGTCGCCGGCGTTACAGACTTTCCCGCTCGGAAGTCGGACGTCCCGCTCTCTCCTGATGTTTTTTTTCTAAAATTTTTTTTGCAAACGCTAAAGTGTTGTGTCTTCAGGGAAATTCATGGAAAGGATCTCAATGAGTAATTTTTTAAAGTTTGAGTCATAGAGAAGTATTACTTTAAAACAATTTTTTTTCTTAGAGACAAGATCTCACCCTTCATCCAGGCTGGAGGGCAGTGGCACAATCATAGCTAATTGCAACTCCAAACACCTGGGCTCAAGCAATTTTCCTGCCTCAGCCTCCCAAGTGGCTAGTACTACAGGTGTGTACTACCATGTCTTGCTATTTTTTTTAATTTTTATTTTTTGGAGAGGCAGGGTCTCACTATGTTGCCCAGGCTGGTCTTGTGCTCCTGGGCTCAAATGATCCTCCTGTCTTGGCCTCCCAAAGCACTGAGATCACAGGTATGAGCTACCAGGTATGAGCTACCATGCCCAACCTCTGACAAATAATCTTGAATACAGGTTTCTAGTAACTTTGTAGATAATACCATTGGACTAGATAAAAACTTCTAGAATTCGAATTAAAAACTGATGTGGGCCAGGCACAGTGGCTCACACCTGTAATCCCAGCACTTTGGGAGGCCGAAGCAAGAGGATTGCCTGAGCCCAGTGGCTTGAGATTAGCCTGGACAACTTAGCAAGACTACATCTCTACAGTAAATCAAAAAATCAGCCAGGCATGGTAGCTCACACCTGTAGTTCTATGTGGAAGGCTGAGGTGGAAGGATCGCCTGAGCTCAGCGGGTCAAGGCTGCGGTAGCTGTGCTTATGCCATTGCACTCCAGCCTGGGTGACAGAATGAGACTCTGACAAAAAATAAAAATAAATTAAAAACTGATGTGTTTATGAAGATTGCTAATTCAACATCAAGCAAAACAGGAATACATGGGACTGAACTGTTGAAGGACTTACATGATTTTTAAATGACTTTTTTGTATGAAATATTGGTGATTATTTTTGTTTTGTTTCCAGAGTCAAGAAAACTTTTTATTTTGAGCTATTTATAGCTTACAGCAATTAGGTAAAGTATACTTTGTAAACAAAATTAAAACACTTACTTTTCTCTCTAGTGATTTATCCAAAGTAACAAGACACATTGGAGACACCAGTAATTTTACCAAGGCTTTGACTGGACTGACATATTGTCATATGTGATCAGACTGCTTTGAGGAATTGAGGTTGAGTTTATAGAGCTAATAAAAAGCCTCTTGGAGGTACTAGTCCGGTACTTCTATACAGTTGCCTTACAAGGTTCCTGACTTTGCAGTAAGTAAAGAATGTTACTTTCTGATAGGCCTAGGAACCTCGAAATGTTTTGAGACCTTGAGAAGAGAGAAAGGAAGTCACTCAATTTGTACAGGCATTACAGGTACAGATCAATGGTAAGTGCTTAGCTTGGCTTCCTAGCTTCAAAAGACTTTTAAAAGTCTAATCTGAAATTTCTTATGAAAAAGTTCCATCAAAACCAATTTAAAAGAAGCTTATATGGCTGGGCACAGTGACTCATGCCTGTAATCCCAGCATTTCGGGAGGCAGAGGCAAGAGAATTGCCTGAGCTCAGGGGCTCGAGACCAGCCTGGGCAATTGGCAGGACCTCATCGTTACAGTAAATCAAAAAATTAGCCAGTCTTGGTGGCTCACGCCTGTAGTTCCAGCTACTTGGAAGGCTGAGGTGGAAGGATTGCCTGAGGACAGCAGATCGAGGCCAGCCTGGGTGACAGAGTGAGACTCCAACTAAAAAAAAAAAAAAAAAGGAAGCCTATATGACAAATTGCTATTCCTGTTGCACTTTATGCCAATAAAATAATGAGACCAAGTATAAGACTAAAATTTATTTTGCAAGTAAATTGGTCTTACTCTGATTTCTCCTTGGTAGAAAAGGGGGGGGCGCACAGAGAAAAATTATGTTTCAGAAGAAAACTATAGCACAACTGTTATTAGATTCCAGCCTTGATCATTGTTTGTTTTTTGTTTTTTGTTTTTTGTTTTGAGTTGGAGTCTCACTCTGTCACCCAGGTTCACGGCCACCTCAGCCTCGACCTGCTGGGTTCAGGTGACCCTTCTGCCTCAGCCTTCCAAGTAGCTGGAACCACAGGCATGTGCCACCATGCCTAACTAATCTTTTGATTTATTGTAAAGACGAGGTTTCGCCATGTTGCTCAAGCTGGTCTCAAACCCCTGAGCTCAGGCAATCCTTCCCAAAATGCTAGAATTACAGGTTTGAGCCATTGTGCCTGGTGACCATTGTTTTGAGTTATTATTTGCCTACAATTTGGACTGAATCCTTTATTATTTTTTGGCTATAACAAGTCTCTAAAGAAGGACTGAGTTTTTGTCTTTTTCATGATGTTTTTAGTTGGCTCCCTAATGCAATAGGTTTTTTTTCCATTCTGGCATACAAATTATTTTCTATCATAATCTTTGTGTATTATATTTCTACTATTCAAATTATTTTGTGTCTCTCATTGCTTTACTTCTTTCAAAACAAAACAAAAATCATGGTATTCTGAAGACTGGGGATGATTCAACAAAGTTTGCATACCTTCCTCATTTGGAATCTTGCTGGGCTCAATCTTTTTTCCACTGCCAATGCACTGCAGCTAAAGCTATACAATATCAAGCAACCTCTCCCTAGGCCCAGGAACTATTCCAGGTGAAGAGGGCACATGAGAGTGTAAGGACTGGTTTTGCGGGGTGGAGTAGAAGAAAACAGCATGATGGATGACAAGAGTGATGCCATCTTGAAGCAAAACCACCATGATGACTGATGTTTCGTTCCTGAATACCAAGGTGTTCTGAAACAAGGTCTTTTTTTTTTAAAGAGCATATTTATTTTGTCCTCCATATGTGAAGATAAAATAAAGCTATCTTCTAATATGCAAGGGCTCAGAAAATATGCCTACTTGTACTTTCTTGAAAAATAATTTCTTTTTTTTTTTTTTTTTTTTTGAGTTGGAGTCTCACTCTGTCGCCCAGACTGGAGTGCAGTGGCCGCTCCTGGCCACCGCAGCCTCGACCTGCTGGGCTCCGGCGATCCTTCCGCCTCAGCCTTCCAAGTAGCCGGAAAAATAATTTCTAAAGATGTATTCTTACTGATCTAAGTATGAGGAAAAATTAAATCCTCAATAATGACGAGGTTGTAGTACAGAGTCTGATATTTGGTATTTGTCAGATGCTAGGAAAGCAATTCTCAACCAGGGAGTGTGGCAAAGTATATTTATTGCCCTAGTAGGTGTCCCTGGCTTCCTTTTTCCACTCCAACTGAGAACCAGTATGTAATGAGGGTGATATCATAAATCTAGAGTCATCTAGGGCAGTGCTCCTAAACCCTGATAAAAATATCAATGCTTAGTCCCACTTCCAGAGGCTCTGATTTGTTTGGAGGTAAGATCCAGACACAGGTATTTTTTTTAAAAAGCTCTGCAAGTAACTAGAATATGTAGCCAAGGCTGAGGACTTCTTCTAGGAGAGGAAAACCTGTATTAGGGTGAAGCAAGGTCTTTAAACAATGCCTATAGCATAGATAACCCTTTATAAAGGAACATTACCTATAGCACCTTTCATAAAGATGCTTATCTAACCTCCCCAGTAGTTATGAGTTTTGCAAGAAAATCTGAGACATGACCAGCTGCACATGTTCTACCAAAAATCTTGCTATATAAAGAATATTTGCTGGAGGGTGAGTATGGGAATCCACTGTCTTAAGGCTGCCTGAGACATCGCTTTTGTTCCTAAATCCCTAATCAATGTTTCTTCCTGAAAAACTGGATTTGTCAGCTTCTTTCTTTGGCCTCTCATCTCCCTTGGCCTTGGGATAGGTTTGCATATACCTGCCCACTGGGGAACATATACCTCTCAAACTGGATGTAATGAGCAGTCTGAGGCCATTTTTTTGATATTTGATTGCTGTCAGTGTTTAAGTCTCACCCTTTCTCTTCTCTTTGTGCCTACATCTGGGCAAACTAGTAAGAAAGCCTGGGTGTTTCCTTCTTCTTTTTGAGTTGGAGTCTCACTGTCACCCAGACTGGAGTGCAGTGGCCGCTCCCGGCCACTGCAGCCTTAACCTGCTGGGCTCTGGCGATCCTTCCGCCTCAGCCTTCTAAGTAGCTGGAACTACAGGCACGCGCTACCACGCCCGGCTCATTTCTTATTTATTGTGGAGATGAGGTCTCGCCAAGTTGCCCAGGCGGGTCACGAACCCGCGGAATCAGGCAATCCATTCACCTCAGCCTCCCAAAGGCATGGGATTACAGGCTGAACCACCGAACCCGGCTGGGTGCTTCCTTCTTTAGTGCCAGCAGGTTTAAACCACACAAGCCCCTGCCTGCACATAGGAACTCTCACCTCAGCCCTACCACCAAACCACAAATAAAACCTCAAGCCAGCCTCCTCTCCCTGCTCTCTCAAGTTATTTTGGACCTGCCTAGGAAGCCTTCCCTGCTGCCCTCAATAAATAATAAAACTTCTCATTCCCCCTTGGAGGGGGTTGTGCGTGTAGCATCATTAGTCTCAAAATTTTGAGTGGAAATAATCTGCATCTGCAGGTAACCATACAATTGTCACTGTCAGCAGATATCTTGACAATGACTATCCCCCAGGGGTCTGCTTTCCATTGCTTCAGCTTATTAATCAGCTGTCTGCTGACTGACTGTGAGCTGTGCTGCTTTGTGTGTCATTTTTTTAGTCTAACATAACCTCTGTCACAGATTTAGCTGAACTAAATCAGCAGTTTTCATAATTAGTTGACATTTTAGGGGTAGGAGTATGGGATTGGGGCCTTCTTCAAAATAGCCCTGGGTTGTGTGTCTCAGCCCAGACCTATCTGTGTGTTTAAGAACAAAGTTGTGATGGGCACTGGGCTCTGGGGTAAGATCCTAGGACTGATGGGTGTGTGTCTCCACCCGGAATTGGCCCCCGATTTACAGA